CTAGCGCGCCCGTATTGAGATCCAAATTTGGTATAACAACTAAATAAACCACCGCAATCACTAATAAATCATCATAGAGACTAATAGACACCAACATCAACAATGACATACATGAGATTCAAACAAGGTCTAATCGTCGTTAATCTAATTAAATTTTCCAACAATTTTATCTACACTTTTATTTTACCCAATTAAATTTGAAAAAACCCCAATTTAAGTTTTAATTTCACACAAATCGCCTTGTTAAAATAAAACAATCCATATGAATACAAACTTAAATTTTTATTACTTTGATAACGATTAGTACGCTTGATAATTTGAATACAATTATGATTTGAATCATATGAAAGAATAATGTGAATAAAAGAGATAAATTCTACAAGCAACTTATTTAATCGGATCATTGATTCAAATTAAGAAATTACATGATTTGAATCACACAGCCGGAGATGATTTTCAAAATAATTAATTAGTCATGATTTGCATCAATCAGGTCTTTGATTCAAATCAACCATATTTTTTATTCAGAATCATTTAAACAACACCAGAATTCCAAAATTCTCTTTTAAGTTTGACAAGAATCAATCAAAGTTATGATTCAAATCAAACTTTAAAAACACCTTGTTTCAAGGCTTTTAACTTGTGATTCAAAGAACGCATACTTTAACTTTGACTAAATTACTCAAACTAAAAAAATTACATTGTAGTAATAGTTGCCCAATTCGGTCATGAAAGCGGTGTATTTTTTGCCTGTTTTCACCATTGGGATCTGGTTATAACCAGAGTATGTATCCATAAATGATAGCAATTTGAAACCGGGCGAGTTGTCGATTAGTTTGTCAATATTGGGGAGGGGATAAGCATCTTTCGAGCAAGCCCGATTGAGATCTGTATAATCAATAAACATGCGCCGCTTTCCATTAGATTTTTCACAAGAACTACATTTGAGAGCCAGGTTGTGTACTGGGCTTCAGAAATAAAATGTGCCTCTAGGAGGTATTTTACAGCTAGTTATGCAGCCTTCCCTTTTTCGGATGATTGTTTTCTTCTACGATGGGCGACCGCCTTGAGGGCAGGATCTATAGTCAAGTGATGGCATGCGATTTTTGGATCCAATCCGTGCATCTCGGCCGCACTCCAGGCGAACAGGTCAGCGTTCTCCCTCAGGCAAGCCTTGAGTTGCCTTTTTGCTAGGTCGGGGAGGTCCGCTCCAATCTTCACTCCTCTGGTGGGATCTTCTCCGAGGGGAACTAGCTCGAAGTCGCCGTCCGAGATTGATCGTGTGTGACTCGAGAGTTCGTTGCGACCTGCAGAGGGGTTGAATCTTCGACTTCGACCATGGGCTCCCAACAGACCCATCTAACAAACTCTAATCAATAAAACTTAATTATTCATACTCATATGAATCATTACTGAAGTGATAAAGAAACAGTACATGAATTTTCAGTTTGAATTTGGCTTTCATTGAGAAAAATTTGAGCTTCAGAAATTGCTTCACCGTAAAATTTGAATCGCAATAATGTCCCCCCCTCTTCTATAAATAGCAAAAAACGGGTGGCAGAAAAATCGAGTCACCGTCGACTTCCCATTCATCTCCGACTTATCTCTCAACTTCATCATCCTTACGAATATCCACCACATTCTCATTAAAACCTCCACTTTATTGAGTTGTCCTTATTTAGATAACTGTCCAATTTGACTTTCAAGATTCTTCATGGACGCTTCAATGTTCTTGCTGGATGCTTCAATGTTTGAGTCTAATTGGTAAAATAAAAGCTTAAATAAAATTAGTGGAAAACTTGATCAGATTAACGACAATTAGACCTTGTTTCAAATCCCTTGTATGTTACTATTGATGTTGGTATATATTTTCTCATAAGATGTTTTTTATCAGTGATTATGATAGTTTACTTAACTGTTATACTCAATTCTTTGATGTATAACTCACTATTATTCACTACACTCCCTAATTCCTTAGGTCAATTGACTAGTTAAAACAAACAATATGTATGTGTTAAACCTTAAGTCACAACACATAATTTCTTATCCCTAATCAATTATAAGTTGAATAGAGTAATTTAGTTCTAGATCAGAGTTATGGATCTCAAAGCGGGCGCGTTAGGCATGCTAAAGGCCTATAAAAATGGCTTTTCAACCATTTCTTAGTAATCTTTACTATTGTTTTTGCATTCTCTTGTTGTTTTTCACATCTGTAGAAACTATGACACTAAAGAGACAAACTAAAAAATTACAATTGACTCAACCTAATTGAGTGTAAGGGATGGCTTAGGGTATAATTAATGATGATCAAAATCAAATTAGAAACAAATCAATAAAAATAAATTACAAATAAATGATAGTTCAAAAAATACCAAAAATCATCAAAACACATAAAAAAAATTCACAGTTACCGGATTAATAAAAAAATCATCAAATTCACATAAAAAAAAAGATAATTTTCTAGCAAGTGTACTAGTGTTGTTATCGAATTAATAAAAATAAATTTATCTCCACAGAGATTACAAATTTAGAACAATGTACATTGGGTGATGTAATTAAAAATAGTTAACAATGGGTTTTCGAGGTTGTTTTTGTCGAAAATAAAAGAGAAAGGTTTTGATAACAATTATGAGAAAAGCAGACATATTTTATTGTCAGAATCCCATATTTCTACTTGATTGATGAAACACGCATGATCAGAAATGAATATAGAGTTACACAATGGATTAACTCTACCACTACACCAAATCTATTGGTGTGTAGCTCACTAACCTAACCGTTAATTCCTTGATCCCCAGGCCAATTGTAACGTCAGACTAGGCAACAGAGCTCACTAATTCCTAAGTTATAATTCATAATTATTCTATCCATAGTCATTTAGTAAATTCAATAGTTAAAGTGTGTCAAGTAAATAGCCCTAAGGTCAGTAGTCACTATTATCAAGATCGAATTGAATGTTGTAACAAGCAATAGGCAATGAAAAAAAAATTAATAACTGAATAATAACAAATATTCAAATCAATTACATTAACATCATCTGATCATATGTACCAATCAAATAGAAAAAGATTCATCATTAAATAAAATTTAACCTAAGAGGAATCTATCTAATCATGTTAAAATTAAACAATACCATAAGTGTAGAGTCGAAGAACATGAAGAATCACCAAAGAAGAAGCTCTCTAATGGCTTCAATGACCTCAAAAAGCTCCAAAATCACTCCAATACATCACTTTTATCTCTCCAAAATCGATCCCCTATTTTTTCCCTTCCTTTTCTTTATAAAGCTGTCAACAAAAAACTGCAACACTGGCACGTAGGCTTCTAACGCGGGCGCGTTACGCTATCTTTAGCTCAACATTGGCGCGCTATAGCTCAGTGCATAAATTATAGAGGAAAAGAATTGTGCTTTTGCTCCTTTTTCACCAGTTTTTCAAATAAGTGATTTTCTTCATACAAAAGTTCTTTTTCAAGCCCTTTTCACTCTTTTGATTCTAACTTGCTCATTTATTTTTAGATTTGGTCGATTTTTCTTGCTAAATGACGTGCAAAGACAACATGTCATCACAACCCCAAACTTGAATTATTGTATTTCCTCAAGTAACATGTTTGTACACTGAAAATTTGTCTGAAATAAATTATAAACCTTACCAAATGAATGTCACTTGCTTTTGCTGATTGAGATGTATGTTCCCTACTTTGCTTTAACTAATTCAAATTAGTTCTTCCAGCATCAATACTCAACTTATCTCTCTACTCACCATTATGCACTCAATTGAAAGGGTTTTCACTCAATCACATACAAGGATAAAAATGAATGAATTTGTAAGCTATCTAAAAAATCAGTCAGATCATATTTAAACACACACCTTTGAGGACTTTTAAGACCGTATCTTGGCTTATGTCAGGGTAGGATAACTTTGTGAATAATCGGCTTAAACCTTGGAGTTAGGTACCTCTTTGTTCATCCATTGTCTTATTCCTTTTATATCACTCTTTCATCATATTGGGTACTAGATATTTTTCTAATTATTGGTCCTTGGCTTTTCTTTCTCATATATTATTTTTAAATGTCATGTCTTTGACATCTTATTTTTCTCTTTCTTTTTCTTTTTCTATGACCAGATTTTCTAGTACTCCCAACTCCAAAATCAAATGTCACTAACTTTCAAGAGCAACCCCGAACTCAGTGAATACCATATCCTGACAATGAAATTTATCCACCTAACTCTAAAGAGGGTAGAAAGACTTTCATCTTTCAAGTCACATGCTTATACATGGTAAGTCACCAAAGGAAAGGCTAAGGTTCGAAATGGTTAACAAGGGATCTCAACTATTGTGCAAGGGTGGTTTACAAAGCCACAAAGTTTTCACAAACAACCGCCTTTATGTGTGTTTATCAGATCAATTAATTAAAACAGATAAAATTCAAATTCTAGATATTACAAATGCATGGATACACTCAGACAAAGAAATAAGTAAACAATGGAAATATGTGTGCTAAAACTTCGCCTGTTTAGATATCTGGAGGTTGAGTACCATCGTTGGTGTCTCTTTTCTTCATCATTCATCACTCAGCTTTGTCACTTCAATCTCGATCACTTTATTTACTTTTTCTTGTGATTGCTTTTCTATTCGATGGAAAGAAAGTAATTAAACTGAAAAAGAATTGGCACAAACAAAATTCATTAATTCAAGAGAACAAGACATTACGAAATTTGGGGTAGAGCAAATTTTTGGAGCTCCCCTTCTTTCATTGATTGGTACATAGGGACATAAAATAAATAAAAGCAAAAGTGAAATAATGTTGAATTAGAAACTATCATTTGGGCGGCAGAAGTCATAAAACGGTTTAAGGTCATACCGATGATGTTGATTTTTCCTAGCCCAGAGGGTCCTCGTCTCTGCTCACCTATTTTCTAAGTTTTGATTTTGCTCCAAAAGTAAGATTCCATCAATGTTGAAGTATGAAATATTTTTCTTAGATTCGTGACTAACATATGATCTTTGTTCTGATCATAAAAGCTTTGGTACTCGGGCCCAAATTTAGGGGTGTTGGTGTACAGATATGGCGAGACTTCATGTGCCCAAGTGGTTATGCCCAAGGCAAATTCTTCCCACTGTTGCATTTGTTCAGATTGCTACTCATGATGATGGGCTCTTTCAGGTGGTTGTTACATCTAAGAACAGGACATGATCTCTGTTCCGATCATAAAAGCTTAGGCACCCGACCCAAAATTTAGGGGTGTTGATGTACAGATTTGGCGAAGCTTCATGTGCCAAGTGGTTATGCCCAAGGCAAAATTTTCCCAATGTTGCATTCGTCCAGGCTGTCGATCATAATGATGGACTCCTTCAGGTGGTTTCATCACATGACAGTAGATATCATCGTCTCCCTTCTCTTCTTGGTCTCTTACTAGAGATGTGGTGTGTTGAGTACTTGGCGGATGGAAATTGCGGTGATTGACAGCACCAGTCTGACCATTACATCATCTGGATGAACATGAACTGCAGCTAGCCCATACAATTTATTAATAACACAAAAATGTACCCGAGATATATGGGGAGAGTCAGCCATATATCTTATGGTTTTCTCAAAAAGCTCCAAAATCACTCCAATACATCACTTTTATCTCTCCAAAATCGATCCCCTATTTTTTCCCTTCCTTTTCTTTATAAAGCTGTAAACAAAAAACTGCAACACTGGCACGTAGGCCTCTAACGCGGGCGCGTTACGCTATCTTTAGCTCAACACTGGCGCGCTATAGCTCAGTGCATAGAAAGAAATAGAAAAAAATTGAACTTAGATTGGGTGGAGGCCGCGCGAACGCAGGCCCCCTCAGCAACAAATTATGATGTAGGCTCCACCACTTGGGTAGACCTTAGGAAAACACCCCTCCTAAGTGCAATGGAGGTCACAATCCTAGGCCATGGGCCTTCTTGATCACCCATTGACCCCATCCAGGTAAGTATGTTGCAATGTTGCATATCACTTCTTATTTATAACCTGCTTTAACACTTCACGCCTACAACACTAACGATGTGGGACTAAGTAAATTGCTACTTCAGTTTTCTAACCTTTTATTTAGAGCTGCGTGAAACGTGTCTTTTTCTTCTTAATTCAAGCACATGTTTTATGATACATCAATCATCCGTTGTTTCAACAGCATCCATATCAAATTTTACTATAAAAGATGTTCCAATTTCAAAGGCAACCAAAGGGTCATACTACTACACTGTTTGTGATGATTTCACAACAATTACCATACAAATTAGCAACAGCGAGTCTATTGTCTTTTGGTGATTAACACATAATATATAGATGCTATTTCAGCTCATGCCATTTCCCTTACTATCTTCTTATCTTTGATGTTAATTAATATGCTTCAAGTCTTTCATTCATAATCTGTTTCTCCAATTTATTAACTACTACAAGGGAAACAGTTGATTGTGGATTCATATATACCAAATATTCATATGCTGATGTGAGCTCTTATTTTACTTCAAACTTCCACTCTGATTATTAATGCAGGAAATTCAAGTAAATATATGCACACACCATCCTTCTTGCAATTGTACACCACTTCAAGTAAATATATGTATTTTTTTCATCAATTGTTTGTTCCCTAAAAGCTAAGTTGTCATAGTTCTCATGTATTAGATTTGGCTATCCATACAGTCAATGAGTTTAATAACATCATTCTGTGTGATTATCAAATAACGCTAGTTATAATCATGTTTCAAAAACTTGCAGCTTGTTCTAGATTTGATAAGTTGTATTGACGATTTCCGGCTATAGTTGTATGCGAGTTGTGCAATCGAATTTTATGTGCCCGAGACAGTATCAACTGCCCAAGCTGGCTCTGATGTTCGGCAGCTGAGCCTTGTGCAGGCTGCCATGATCATCAATACAATAGGTCCAATTTCCTGTCTCTGATGTTTGCCTTGTGCAGGTTCCAGCCAACATCATCAATACAATCGGCTTGCAAACAACATAAGTTTGATTTCTTCATTACTTCTTGTTATTTGGTTTTATATTCTTCCCTTTGGTATCATTGTGATTTTCCAATCAATGTAATTCTAATTACTTGATTTACTAGGAATGGTTACCATTGTTTGGACTTTACAACCAACTACAAAGGTTTTATAAGGGGACGTAATAGAAAGTTACAAACAACGTTAATTTTTAGATTTCCAGAAAAAAGAATTCATATGATAGCATCAAGATGTCAATTTGAACCATTACTCCATGTCCAGCCTTGAAGACCATTTTACAGGAACAGAAAGGTATCAATTCCTAGATGACATGCATAGAACAGATATGCACATTGCAGCAAATATTAATTTAAGCATTTCCAGCAACTAAAAGTGTGAGGCCATCTTTGACTCGCAGCACCACTCCATATCATTAATCCATATTTGGAAGCTTAGCTACGGTTTGATAAAAATGAATATGAAAGCAATATAAGAGAAAATGGCTCAAACAAACATGCAGGAAGATAAACATCTTATCTATAAGTGCGATCAATTTTCCTCAATTTCTATTCGAAGATCATAAACAAATGAGTTGAAATTGAAATATCTTAATTTTCAAAACAACATTACACCGGATCAATGAAATAAGAAAATGAGGACAGAGCATAAAATTAACTTCTGCCTTGACAATTTTGTTCTTATTCTCTTGCCTTTTATTAAGGGAAAGAATAGAACTGAACAAAAATATTCAGTTTAGTTCTGCCTGAGTAAACCCCAAAAATTGGAGACTAACAAACTCAAACAACTATTTGGCAAAATATCTCATCCTAACATTAGATTATTGTGAGCGATTCTGCAGTCTAGTGCATTTGACGGCTTGATCTGAACCAAATAAAGCAGAGCACGAGTGTAGATCCATTCAGGCATATGTCGGAAAGGCTTCCTTGCAGTTTAATATTTAGCCTCTCAATTCTATCAATCCTTTCCACAGCATCTACATAAATAAATGTTAAGCATAAGCTGATAAATTTCGTAAAAAAAATTCATAAATTCAAATTTAAAACAATTGGAGGAAAGAAAAATGTTTTTCACTTTTTCAATAGAGGAATTAAAAAGAAAAACTGTGATAGATGTTAAGAAAAATGACAGTTATATGTTTATAAATAGATTTGCAATAGTTTTCACACTGTGATACATGTATATAATAAAACACCAAATCCTATTTTTGAAAATATACAAAAATGAGTAAGAAATTATAGTTTTTTTTCAATATCAGAATAAGAAATTTAGTTTAATCATAACAGTCGGAGACATAAGAAATAAAAAAGTTACTAGGAGGTAAACTAATCTAATATCTATCAAAAAAATAAAAATATAGTAATTATAGGTCGAAACACTGTAGCATCGAACCTCTGAAAAAACGTGTGAAATCAATACCGACACTTGTAATTACATTTAATTTATTCATTTTATCAAATTATTATCGATGTGGCGTCTTGTTTCCGGTGTCGTGCTACATAGGTCAGAAAGCACTAATTTTTCTATAAACCTATTTGCTTAGCCATGTAAGTATGTACTATTAAGTCCAGCTAGTGTGTAAAAATGTGAGAAACCCCAAAAAAGTGCAACTACTATATAACAGAAGGGAAAAAAAGAGTAAGGAAATAGCTTGTTCTCAAAAGATTTTCTATATTTTGAACAGAAGGTGAAAAAAAACCTTTTATATCTTTTCTTTGAACCACATGGACAGGGGGCATTCCTGCTAACTTGTCCACTTTTAGCCAAATTAGACTTTGCAAGATCCACTGGATTTGTACCAACCAGCTTTTGGAGCTAGAGAACAAGAAAAATAAATATGAATGGTTACACAGATTATTTGACACAGCGAAGTAATCCTATTATCTTATTGTATTATGCATATGCTAAACTCACAAATATCTTAGTTATCACAGAAATTGATTATTGACTTGGTTTCCATGCATTAGATTATTTATAGACACCCAAACCATGCAAACAATGAAACCAACTCTCAATGAAATATCAATACCAACAACAACAACAAACAAGAAAATCCATAACAGACACATAAACATGTATTATTTTATCTACGGTGTGATGTCACACAATACATTTTTAGTAACATGAATCAACATCCAGGATACAGTTTGTTTGTGTTGGATTTCAACAGAAGAACACAACGCATGGGTTTGGAAATTGCAATCATCATGCTGTGACCCTATGACACATCAAGCTACGCAGTGGCATCATGACTCGACCGCTGTCACTTGAATTTCAAACATGCTAACTAAAATATCAAATGCGTTGAGGCCAATATAAGCAATTAACATTGAGAAGTGTGTCGTACAGCAAAATTCACTGGCTCTACCGTCTAAAACAATTCTAAAACCAGCTTAACCAACGGCTTAGCACCTAACTAGTCATACACATGGCTTTAAGTTGCAGTCCGCAACTGCAATTGTAGCCACAATATTGCTTATGCAGAAGCCTCCGCAACCGCATTGGACCACAATTACGGTGTGAGTTAAAACCATGCGTCCGACTGTCAAAAACTCAATTTAGTTACAAAAATCCAAAAACTCAATTTACTTGCAATGTAATGAAAAAAATTTGCATAACAAGTTTTTTAATAGTATATTTCAAACGCCTCCCAATTAAAACTCACGCGGCAATAACCGCAATGAACGCAGTCAGAACACCCCCAACCGCATCACGACGGCAATTTAAAACCATGGTCATTCATACCCAAATTGTGCTCCTTCTTTCAAATGTCAACATAAAAAGGCCCAAACAAGACCAATTTTCAAATATAAAAACTAACATAAAAGCAGGATTTATATCATTACCAATACAGTAAAAGTGTTAATCAAGGAAGAAAATTACTTCAGCAATACTTTTCGGCATTGGTTTTCCTTCCTTATTCAACTCCTGAATCTTCTTCTGTGCTTCTTTAGCCCAAGTAAACTTCGCTAGCGCATTCTCCACATCCGCAATCGTGCAATTACAATGTTTGGCCGCTTCTTGTTTATGACTAGTCTTCAAATTCTAAACACAACAAACAACAAATTCATCATCATAAACCCTAAAAAGAAAAACAAATGCACAAAATTCTAATAACAATTTAGTACATTATTACAGATTAATCTAGTCTAAACAAAAAGAAACCTCTCCAGTATAATCAAAAGCGGCGAGATATCGAATAATGGCTTCGTATTTCTCAAACGCAGTAGCGAAAGTAACTTGGCTGCTTCTTCCAACCATGTACTCTTTAAACGCGCCAATTTTTCTGGCTTTCTTCATTTCATCGGCGAAATCTGTGAGCAAAAATGGATGAAAATTAAAACCTAAAAGTGCGAAGAACAAGAAGAGATTGAAATGAGGAAGTTACCGAGTAGTGTGAATGATCCGGAGGGGAATTGAGATGCGTCTAGTTGGGGTTGTTCGGTTTTTTGGGGTGTGAAGACGTTTTTGATCTTGTTGATCCATGAATTTTGAAGGTGGAGTGTGGTGGAAATTGAACGGTAGTGGTGATTGTGGATTTTATTTAACGGGTGATGGTGGTGACGGTTTATGATTCTGGTTGCGATGCGAAATGCTGCCATGAATCGGGTTTTAGAAGAAACAAAAATTTTTCAAGGGTTTAAAAGGATCGTAATTTATTTATAAGATGGGGTTTTGCGTAAAGAATTACAACCTCTGTTTTTTATAGGTATGTTACTAAATACTAGTACTTCAAGCTCAGGCAATGAAAAATTGGTCACGGGATTTTGACTGAAATGACCTATTTTGCGACTCTAGTGTGTGGCAAAACAATTCAGGCTTCTTCAACAAATATCTTTCAGATATCAAGACGACTGTAATGAAACTATGGTTTGTAATTAAACGTCAGTCTTTGGAGTTTATTTGAAAGCATACACGCATGCAAACAACAAATATGATATCACCATGCAA